AGCGTTTACGTAAAAAGAAATGGGATTTGAGTGAGCTCCCCAAGTTTGAGAAGAATTTTTATGTAGAGCATCCAGAAGTGGCAAGGCTGACTCCGGTAAGTTTTGGGGATTGACTGATTTATTTACCTTTTTTTCTATACACAATAATGACCGAGTTGACATACTAGGCAGGCTTTACAGCTGTTAGATGTTTTATTCTTGTGTGGTATTTCGTTAGATTCTTTGTAAGATTACTGGTACTCAAAGGAGGAAATAGTTTAAATATATACCTAATCTATTGTTGGTTCTCATTTATTGGCTATGCTTCCCAATTTGTCAGGTATGAGATTTTAACTGTATATGAGGTTCACGTCCTTTCATCTACGAAGTTAAGTTTAAAACATTGGCATAGGGGCGCCTAGGTGGCTCAGTTGGTTAAGCGTCTTCCTTCAGCTTAGGTCATGATCCCAGGGTCCTGGGATCGAGCCTCGTGTCAGGCTCCCTGAGCCTGCTTCTCCCTCTCTTTCTGCCCCCTCTCCCCTTCTCGTGCTCTCTCTCTGTTGAATAGATAAAATCTTTCAAAAAAAATAAAACATTGGCATAATATACTTCTCTTTTATTTTAATCTCATTGTGATGATTTTGGACTCTACTCATGAAATGGTTACTCATTCAAAAAAAGGTATGATGGCAAGAGCACTTGGTCCCAAGTTGCACTATTTCTCCCTCTTCCTAGTTCTGACCTTGGGCAAATTACTTTTAATATTTCTGAGTATCTGTTTTCTCATGGGCAAAATAGAACTCTTATCACTTGCTTCATTGACTCAAGAAGTTGGGAGGATCCTTACAAATTGGTTGAAGTTAAATATATATGAAAGCACTATCAGAACTGTTATTAAACGTATTTTCCAGTGTAATTGTAGATTAGATCATTGTTCAGCTTGACTGGAACATAAAGTTTTGCATGTTTAGAATAACTTACTCGTTTTTTTACTTTTTCTTCCATAGTATGAGGTTGATGAACTACGCCGAAAGAAGGAAATTACAGTGAGGGGGGGAGATGTTTGTCCTAAACCTGTATTTGCCTTCCATCATGCTAACTTCCCACGTAAGTGTTCTTCAAACCAGGATTGTAATTGTTAAATTTTATTGAATGGTAAACATGGGTAATGGCTTATTTAAAGGTTTTGATTCAGGCTCAGTATTTTGTTGAAGAGGCAAGTAGAAACCTTTCACAACGGTGGTAATATTAGGGGCGCCTGGGTGGCTCAATCGATAAGCGTCTGCCTTTGGCTCAGGTCATGATCCCAGGGTCCTGGGATCAAGCCCCGCATCAGGCTCTCTGCTCAGTGGGGAGCCTGCTTCTCCCTCTCCCACTCCCCCTCCTTGTGTTTCCTCTCGCTGTCTCTGTCAAATAAATAAAGTCTTAAAAAAGAAAAAATAATAGTAACTTCAAGGCTGGAAGTAAATGCTGTATTGTTGCATGAGAGATTTTTTATGCTTATCTGTTCTTCGTTTTAAAACTTTGAGTTTTTCATCTTCCCCTAGTTTTGCCTCTACCTTTTAGAAAACAGAATGAAATTATGTTCTAGCCGGGTATAACTTGGCAGACAATATGTGACTAACAACCATATGTCCGTGCTCTGTTAGAGACTTTTGGGCAGTGGTTTTAAAGTATTGAAGGGAAGGGTAGATAGCTAAGGCAACAGTCCTCCGAGAGGTAGTAGTCAGCAGGTCAGAGATTCAGTAACTAAAGAAAGAAACAGCACTTCTCTTGGAGATACACGAAGCTGGGTAAATCTTTCAATGAGTTGAACAGTTTTAGAATTCTGTTGGCTGTGGGGTGCCTGGGTGGCTCAGTCGGTTAAGCGTCTGCCTTCGGCTCGGGTCGTGATCCCAGGGTCCTGGGATCGAGCCCCGCATCGGGCTCCCTGCTCAGTGGGGAGTCTGCTTCTCCCTCTGCCCTTCCCCTCCACTTGTGCTCTCTCTCTGGCTGGCTCGCTCTCTCTCAAATAAATAAAATCTTAAAAAAAAAAAAAGAATTCTGTTGGCTGTGTCCTTAGTTTTACCTAAAAGCACTGACATCTGTTCCCTAACAGAATATGTAATGGATGTGTTGATGGATCAGCACTTTACAGAACCAACTCCGATTCAGTGCCAGGGATTTCCCTTGGCTCTCAGTGGCCGAGATGTGGTGGGCATCGCTCAGACTGGCTCTGGGAAGACACTGGCGGTACGTACCAGCAAGGGAATGTTAACATTGTGGTAACTTACTTTGCTATTTTGATTATCCTGTTAATTCTTAATTCTTAGAAAATTGTAATTCAGATAGTGTAGGTAGTATTTCAGGTTTCTTAGCTATGGGAAATGTGTGCGAGTATTTTGTGTTCTAATTTACATTGCACAAAATGTGTAACAGTTACGAGTTCTGTTTTCACTTTTGTGATTAGGCATTATCAATTAACTGTGATAATTTAGGATAATGGCTTAGTTTTGGAATAAGACTGTTGTTCTTTCTCTCCCCCCCCCCCCTCAGTATTTGCTGCCTGCAATTGTCCATATTAACCACCAGCCGTACCTGGAAAGGGGAGATGGCCCGATCGTAAGTGTGTCTATAATTCTAAAAATAATCACAATTTAAAGATAACTGTGTTTCAGGCACTGTGCTTTGCGTGTGATTTCAGATTTCATTCTCAAACCCACCCTCCATATGTAGAAATGATGTTATCCTCATCTTACTGATAAAATTTTGGTAACAGTGCTATTAAATGACTAGTCCAAAGTCATACAGCTATTAAGTGGCTGAGTTTGAATTTGAACTAGTCTTACTCTTAACCACTATGAGTACTGCCTTCATATTATTTCATACTACTGCATTTACTCTGCAGTAAATTCAGATACAGTTTTGAATTGCTTGATGATGCTGTGAGGAATAAGGAAGTATGAAATGATGTCCCTGCCATGTGTATGTAAGTCAGATTTAGGATGTGTATTCTTTGTGGCTAAGTAATACTTTTGTAAATGTTTAACAAAGGGCAGTATGGTTTTCTGATTTGATAATTTTCACTTTTAACGCTACTTTCTATAAAATGTGCGTAGTGGTTATGAAACATTTTTAATGTATTCTTAACCTGTTTTTTAAAAATCAAGGGGTGCCTGACTGGCTCAATAGAGTATGCAGCTTTTGAGCTCAGGGTTGTGAGTTGGAACCCCATGATGGGTGTAGAGATTACTTAAAATCTTAAAAAAAATTGAGCTTGCATTTGCTGTGTTTTTACAGATAGGTACATTATTACAGTGTGTCTCAAAATATTCACAGAAAGAATAATACATTACTTTGCAGTATGAAATATATTCCATATGGCTAATAGAATTAGCTTCATTATTGTTAGCTAATATCTCATGGATCTGTACACAGACCAGGATGTGTTGTTAACAGTGTATATGATAACCTATTTCAAAGAGTTTTAATTTTGTGTTGTTTTGATTGTGTATAAGTCATTGTTTTTGCCTAATGTGTCTAGCTAAAAGCTTAAACTAGAAGTCAGAAAAGTGTCTGCTTTGCTATTTCCTTATTCATTTGGTTTTTTCTTAATATTTGATCCATGGTTAAAGCTACTTGTTCATTTTGTGAGAGTTGTTTAGTTAAAACTAGGTAATGCTGGGGAGCCTGGGTGGCTCAGTTGGTTAAGCGACTGCCTTCGGCTCAGGTCATGATCCTGGAGTCCCAGGATCGAGTCCCACATTGGGCTCCCTGCATAGCAGGGAGCCCAATGACCCTCTGACCCTCCCCTCTCTCATGCTCTCTCTCTCTCTCCCTCCCTCTGACCCTCCCCTCTCTCATGCTCTCTCTCTCTCTCAAATAAATAAATAAAATCTTTAAAAAAACAACAAAAAAAACCCTAGGTAATGCAATCTGTAAATCCACTTAAATAGCACACAGACTATAATGAATGAATCGTGTATCAAAAGTAAACCTGGGTGCCTGGGTAGCTCAGTTGGTTGAGCGACTGCCTTCGGCTCAGATCATGATCCTGGAGTCCCTGGATCGAGCCCCGCATCGGGCTCCCTGCTCGGCAGGGAGTCTGCTTCTCCCTCTGACCCTCCCCCTCTCATGTGCGCGCTCTCTATAAAATAAATAAATAAAAAAAAAAAAAAAAAAGACCCATCAGTTCACATGCTAAATACTCTGTTTTTTGCCACACTCCAGTGTACTGTCTTAAACTCTCTGCCTTCCCCACCCCCTCATATAATTTTAAAGTACCAGGTTAGACAATAGAAAAAGAATTTAGATAACCTTTTTGTTTTTTTTCTTTTTTAACTTGGGATAGGTGTCTTAAACATGTGTGTTTGTTTCAGTGTCTAGTTCTGGCTCCTACCAGAGAGCTTGCCCAGCAAGTACAGCAGGTGGCTGATGACTATGGCAAATGTTCTAGATTGAAGAGTACTTGCATTTATGGAGGGGCTCCTAAAGGTCCTCAGATTCGAGATTTGGAGAGAGGTAATTTAAAAAAACAAAAACGTAAGAATAATTTTTCTCATTTTACCAATTTTTATGAATGAAGTTGGAGAGGGAAATAGTGGGTTCTTATTGGGAAAAAAATCAGTATTTCAGGAGCTTAGAAATTCTCAGGTATGGTTTAACTGCTATTAAAGGAATGTTTAACACAGAGACTTAAACTTGGTGGAGATTGGATGATTATACATAAATCTCTTTACGTCATGCTTTTCCAAGTATTATGTTAAGATTTAGCTAGTGCTCTGCAGTATCGAATGCAACCACCAGAGCTGGTGCTTCTTAGTATGCTGAGGCTTGGACAGTGTATATAGAGACTTCTTAATTGGCTACATCTTTGGTTTTGTTTTACAGGTGTTGAGATCTGTATAGCTACTCCTGGGCGCCTGATAGATTTCCTGGAGTCAGGAAAGACAAATCTTCGCCGATGTACTTACCTTGTATTGGATGAGGCGGACAGGATGCTTGATATGGGCTTCGAACCTCAGATCCGTAAAATTGTGGACCAAATCAGGGTGTGTAAAACTGATGATACCCTGTCTTTATGCTCATTGCCTGTCATGGTTCCTCAGCCTAAAAGAAAGCCTTTCTTTTCCTGGTAGCCTGATAGGCAGACATTGATGTGGAGCGCAACCTGGCCAAAAGAAGTAAGACAGCTTGCAGAGGATTTCCTTCGTGATTACACCCAGATCAACGTGGGCAATCTGGAGTTGAGTGCCAACCACAACATCCTCCAGATTGTGGATGTCTGCATGGAAAGTGAAAAAGACCACAAGTAAGAGAGATTTTATTGTTTTGATAATGCTGTTAAACCTTTCCTAATAATCCTCCCAGAGTTAAAGCATTGAAGAAGTCTGAAATTTTTTGAGGCCCCAGAACATTAAAAGCATTACTAGCTTTCCAGCTATCCATTCTTTATCTCATTTTCCAGAGCATTGTGGTTACAAGGAAGGATTCTGGATCCTTAGAATTAAATCCCAGCTCGAATAGTTATTAGCTGTATAGAAAATGTGAAAAGAAAGTACTGTAGTTTTGGGGAGTTGATATTGTAGACATAGCTTCTACATAATGTATAGGGAGGTCTACTCTGAATGCGTGCGTTTTTGCTGGTCTTGTTTTCAGGTTGATCCAACTCATGGAGGAAATAATGGCTGAGAAAGAAAATAAGACAATAATATTTGTAGAGACAAAGAGACGATGTGATGACCTCACTCGAAGGATGCGCAGAGATGGGTGAGTACTGCACGGAGGTAATTAGCCACAGGTTGTATATTTATAGTTCAGTAGGAATTTCTGAATTGGTATAATTAATGTTGTATTACTATTTCAGTAATACCCGTCATGCACTTTGCTCCTTGGATGGACACAGTCATCTATTCACGTAGCTTAATAAACCTTCACAATTCCGTGTGGTAGCTCTTCTTTTTAAAGTTTAGTTTTACTCTTTTAAAGATTTCTGAAATATTGGTCACTTTTCTTCTGACAGTTGGCCAGCTATGTGTATCCATGGAGACAAGAGTCAACCAGAAAGAGATTGGGTACTTAATGGTGAGTTCAAAACTAAACATTGTCCATACTCTGTTTTAGGGATGGGCAGGCTTTCTGTAAAGGGTCAAGAAGTAAATATTTTCGGGGCGCCTGGGTGGCTCAGATGGTTAGGCATCTCCCTTCAGCTCACGTCGTGAACCTGGGGTCCTGGGATCGAGCCCCGCATCAGGCTCCCAGGTCAGCGGGGAGTCTTCTCCCTCTGCCTCTCTCCCCTGCTCATGCTCTCTTGTCTGTCTTTCTGTCTCAAATGAATAAATAAAATCTTTTTTTTAAAAAAAGTTAATGTTTTCTGCTTTGCAGACTGTACGGTGGTTATGTCACAGTAGTTCGGCTTTGATGTTGTAGCAGAAAAAGATGGTCATAGGCAATATGTAAAGAAAGAGCCTTGCTGTGTTGAAGTAAAATAATAAAAATAAATATTGCCAGATTTGATCCATAGGTCAGAGTTTGCCTAACTATGCTCTCTGTAATTGAGTATTAGGGTCATTTTTTAGCATATCTCTACTGTCCTTGAAGGTTCATAATGCTGCCTATTTAAACTATTTTTCATAACTTAGACCACCCTTCCTGTATTTAATAAGGTCTTGTCCTTGTTAACATTCTGATCTAATGTTCATCAGCCTGGAGAGCTCGCCAAACTCTATGCTTTTGGAGGTGTTTTTGTTTTTTAAGATTTATTTTAGAGCAGGCAAGCAGGGGGAGTGAGAGGGAGAGAGAATCTCAAGCTGACTCTGTGCTGAGCTTAGAGTCCTATGCAGGGCTCAGTCTCACGACCCTGAGATCACGACCCAAGCCAAAACCAAGAGGTGGACACTCAGTGGACTACGCCACCCAGGCGCCCCTACTTTTGGGGTTTTTTTTTAAGATTTTATGTATTTGGCAGAGAGAGACACAGTGAGAGAGGGAACACAAGCAGGGGGAGTGGAAGAGGGAGAAGCAGGCTTCCCGTGGAGCAGGGAGCCTGATGCGGGGCTCGATCCCAGGAGCCTGGGATCATGACCTGAGCCAAAGGCAGATGCCCAAGATGTTCCAAGCTCTTACAATCATGGCTTGGTCTTTCTGGTGACGAGCCCCCATCCTCAAGCTCTCCGGGATTCCACCAAGTAGTGCCTCAGCACAAAAGATACTCCCATCACTCAGGAAGTTCTGAGGGACTTGGGGTCTCTGTGTCAGGAACCAGGCAAGGTCAAAGACTAGGAATAAAAGATTTCCCCTAGCATCTCTCTGTACAAGGGTTTTAGGAACTCAGGGCCAGGACTTGGGGGCAGAGACTAATATACATAATTTCTGTTATTTCACAGAGGAAAGTAGCACTTCTCCTTTGATTTCACATCTTTAAACTTGCTTCCTCCCCTGACCCCTACTTTTGGTTTTATTTCATTTGGAAGATAACTTTAGTGTCATAATTTAAGGGGGAAAAATTCTAGCTCATTTTAATTTTGTTACAAATTGCTACACAGTTTTAATAGTATTTCATTATTAAAGGTAGTTTTTGTCTCTTGTTTCTCTGCTAAAAGTATAATATTTTATTTTCAAAGAAGTATTTTTCTTGAATTTTTAAAAGAGTTTGGCATGTTCTGACACCATTATTTGAAGTTTAACATGCTAAAATAAAAAGGCTAGATAGCTAGGAATGTTTGTATGGGCTTTTTTTTTTTTTTATTTGAGACAGAGAGAACGAGAGAGAGAGAGAGAGCACATGAGAGGGAGGAGGGTCAGAGGGAGAAGCAGGTTCCTTGCTGAGCAGGGAGCCCAATGCGGGACTCGATCCAGGGACTCCAGGATCATGACCTGAGCCGAAGGC